ACTTTGAAAAAGGAAGAAAAACAGCTCCATTAAAGCTGGGCTCGCTTTTGGCTGTCAGCAGGAAAATACAGTCCCACACCAGCCTCCACCAGAGCTCTCAGGCTTGGCCAGTAATTGTTTTCCAACTTCTCTCTGTTACTGCTAAAATCCAAACATTTTCCCATCCATTCTTTTCTGCTGTGCCAGCACTGATCAAGCTAAGTGCGAGTCTGCACCATCAAGACACCACAATTATTCACTGTGCAACTGGCCGTCAGATGGGGACAGCACAGCTCCTGGATCAGGCTGTGGGCTTTTGGTTTCTTTCTTTCTTTCTTTCTTTCTTTCTTTCTTTTTCTTTCTTTCTTTCTTTTTTGTAGAAGTTCTCTATGTATTTGGGATGCTAGCCCTTTGTCAAATATATGGTTTGCAATTGTTTTTTTCCATTCCATAGGTTTTCTTTTCTTATTTCAACAAAATTTTTATTGAATTAATTTACCATGTAACATCATACAGTATTAGTTGCTCAGTCATGTCCAAATCTTTGTGATCCCGTGGACGGTAGCCCCCCAGGCTCCCCCCACTGTCCATGAAGTTCTCTAGGCAAGAATACTGGAGTGGGTTGCCATTTCCTTCTCCAGGTGACCTTCCTGACCCAGGGATCAAGCCTGGGTCTCCTGCATTGCAGGCAGACTCTACCATCTGAGCCACCAGGGAAGCCTCTTATTGTGTATGCTGAAGATATACCATGCGCTAATTTGATACATGTATGTATTGTAATATGATCTTTAGTGATATTTATCACATTACATAATTATAGCACATTATTGTCTACATCCATTATACTGTGCGTTAGATCTCTATGATTTATTTACTACTTGTTATAAGTTTGTACCTTTAAATACCATAAATCTTATCCATTCCTCATCTCCCTAGTAACCAGCATTTTACTCTATTTTTTTTTTTTACAGGTTTGACTTTTTTAGAGTCCATGTATAAGTGATATCATACAGCACATGTCTTTTGATTTATCTTACTTAGCATAATATACTCAAGATCCAGCCACGTTGTCACAACTGGCAGGATATCCTCCTTTCTCACAACTAAACTGTTATGTATGTGTACCACATGTGTTTTTTCCATGCATCTGTTGATGGGCATTTGAGCTGTTTCCATTTTTGGCCAATGTGAATATGCACTCCCATATTTGCTGAAGCATTATTCACAGGCTGTGCTTTTGAAGGGATGCTATAGCAGCCACAGTCAATCTTGCCTTGAACTAATGGAAAAAAAAGAGGCAGCTGACCTTCCACTGAAAGGGATAGCAACACTATAAGAAATCTTTTTTCCTTTTTTTTTTCTGTGTCAGTTTCCTACCTTGCCCTCATTTCATAGTTGAAACCACATGTGTAGAACCGACTTTGCAATTTAGTTCTGAGGTCCAGAAATGGCTACACGGGAGCTCCATGTCTTTTCAGATACTCATTCCCTGATGTGTTAAATCACCCAGAAAGCTGGAGGAAAACGCTTTCCTTCCTGAGCAGGGGCAAGAAGGATGCCGTCTGAAGGATATTCCGATGTTTTACAGTTGAAAGGATGTGGGAGGTCTGGGAGTATTAATAATAACTATTATTATCTTTTTTATTTTTAACCTCAGATGCAGGGAATGGAGTTAATTATACTGCTCAGTTCACGGCACACTTTTTTTTTAAACTTATTTTTGGCTGTGCTGGGTCTTTGTTGCTTCACAGGCTTTTCTCTCGTTGCAGTGAGTGGGAACTCCTCTCTAGCTGTGGTGCGTGGGCTGCTCATTGCAGTGACTTCTCTTGTTGCGGAACACGGGCTCTAGGGCACACAGGCTTCAGGAGTTGCTGCTCACAGGCTCAGCAGTTGTGACACACAGGCTTAGTTGCCCTGCGGCATGTGGAATCCAACCAGGCCAGGGACTGAAGCCATGTCCCCTGCGTTGGCAAGCGGATTCTTAACCACTGGACCACCAGAGAAGCCCCATGGCACTTTTAGTGCCAATTTTCCAGTGCCTGCTCTTCCTTCCTGTATTTATTCCACATTCCTGTTCTCTCACTGACCACTCCCCGCTTGCCCCCATAGGTGATTGCTCCAAGGTCTTTACTGTGTATTTGTTTATTTGTGTGCATTCTTACAAATGGTGTAAACCTGTCCTATCAGTCTGCATAATGGTACTTACTGTGTTATGTATCTTTTTCTGTTTTTACTTCTCTAGGTTTCTAAGATTTATCCTTGTTGCTGTGTGCATATCACATTTATTGATTCTAATTGCTGCAGAATATTCCACAGTTCTTATCTCTCCATTTGGTTCTTACTATATACTAGGTTCTATATTAAGTGTTTTAGATGCATGATCTCATTTGATCTTACCAACAGCCCAGGAGCAGGGTACTATAATTTTGGCCAGATCCTCAAACTGAGTGGAACAAATCAGAATCATGACAGGGGATTTGATAGAGTGAGGCCAGTATGCCTGGAGTCGGTAGCATTTGCTCAGCATAACTCAGGGGCTGCAAACTCTAGCAGCCTCAACTTGCTTCATCTCTTCTATTGGCCTCAGGTAATTCTTGGGAACCACCTAATACCGAGGACATACACTATATTCCATTAAAAGGAAAAACAGCTTGGTCCCTTTTATCTAAATATAGATACACACAGGCATAGCAGAAGAAACTGGAAATGCCAACAGCCCTCTCTGGGGGAGAAAACTGCAGGTAAGTTTTCTTGTCTTCCTTTTGTTTATTTGAAGGTTTGCCCTTGAAAGTTACTTCAATTTCCTGAGTTAAGATGGGAACTTTAAAGAGATGCACGGCTTTGTGGTTCTCTAGCTGGTGGATGCGGGGCCGTGACTCTGGACCACGTGACGGATATGGTGGTCACCTCCATGAATCAGTCCACCATCCACCTCCCTGATGGGTGATACACTGACCCCCAGCTGAGTTCTCAGACAGGACACTCTTGGGGAACGTGTGGGGATCCTACAGACTCAGGGCCGACCCAGGGGGAGGGGAGGTATGGGGGCAGGGCTGGGCCTTCCAGGCAGCCAGGACATGAATGGTCAGCATCCATGGGGCAGGGCCCTCGAGTGCCCAGCCCTGTGTCACAGCTCACCTCGCACAGCCTTCCTTTGTGACCCCAGCAACCTAATCTGGACAATACTGTTGTCCCCACTTTACCGATGAGGAAACTGAAGTTCAAAGGAGCTATAACAAGCACTGAAATCCATGTAAATTCTCTTGGAAGAATAATTTTATGGAAGCTGAGAGTGGCTTTCGTGCCCCTTAAACATAGGGGGCTCAGCCCAGGCTCAAGTCTGGTGTTCCAATAGGAAATTACAGAGATTTTAGCTTCAGAACAGGACATACATCTTCAGTGGTGTAACCAGTTGGGTAACCAGACTATTGTTTGTGATCTCAGTTGCCTCCTTTTCAAGGGTAGGATGGAGAGAGGTGGCGTGTGTCACTGAGTGTTATCTAACAATCTCATACAAGAGGCCAGAAGCTGTGACTTCAGATCCTAAGTGTGAAAAAATTAATAGCCTTTTTATGCGGGATATGAACTCTTGCATGGATATGGTCAAAGGGTTGTCTTTTATGTCTCGATTCCCATGTGAATCTGCTAGAACAAACAATTGCACTATATCCAGTGTAACTCCCAAACCAAACTCCATGAAAATGCTCCAGAACCCCAATATAGGGAGACCTTTAACCATGTGTGATAAAAGAGAGCTTACTTCAGTGTTGAAATTCTTCAGAGAAGTATTTAATTATGTTTTCTCAGATCTTATATTCTGTCTCTCAAGCCTTCATTTCTACCTTGTTGTTCATTTTGGAAGTAATGCATTTAAGTAAAACTTCCAAAGATGGAATTTTGGAAAATTCTCTGGTTCCTTTAGTATGTCTGCAAAAATAATACTGATCTTGTATTTCTTTCAAGTTGTTTGTTTCTTTAACTAAGGATTTAAAGCATATGTCTAACTTGGTACTGACTAATTTTCACTTCTGGTCATCAAACTTCAGGTCTCTTATTACCTTGTAGATCCGATAGAATAAAGAGCAGCTTCTAACAGATTCTTTTTTCCTGTATGTCTTATCTTTCAACTAAATGCCAGTAACAAACTCAACTGTTGTGATTCTTTATAATATTTCACAGACCACACCGACTACTTCCCTCTTCTGAAAGTAACGCCGAAGTGTGATGCAATAATGCGTACCAGCATGGACATAGCAAAAATTGGAAGGAAAGAGGCCCCTGTGGGCTTGAGCCATAGACCATAGGGTCGTGGATCACCGTTCTGAAAGATCCTGGGGTGAAACTGACATAGTCTGTATCCATGACGACAGAGGAGGGATCCAAGAGACACGCCTGATGAAGCTTGATCCACACTGGCAAAGAGTTCAGAGCTGCCCTGTGTAGCCCAGGGCTCAGGGAGGGCTCCTGTAGAGAGCAGCCTGTGAGCTGCAGCTGCTGGGGAGACTCTCGGTCAGCCCTTCTGGCTTCCTAGGGCTGCTTTCTCGCGTCCACTCTCTGACACTGGGGTGTGACCACCCTCAGAGACCCACAAGTCTGCTGGGTCCTCTTCTCTGCGGAGCAGTCACACTAACACAGAACCAGGCCCTAGGAAAGGGCTGTCACCATATCCTACTCAGAAACTGGTTCACTGGTAGGACCAGTGAGCCACTCAGCCCATCCTGATCATTCTTATGAGAAGACTCTGAGGCCAAAGGCCCATGGGCATTCCCATCGCCAGGTCTCCTTTTCTCCTTCTCATCCTTCGAATCAGAGTTTGGAGCACATGATATGCCAGAAAGTCATCCCATCCTTGCAGGGCAAGACTTAAGGGCCTTTCCCAGCAGGAAGAGGCGTGGATGGAAGATTCTTCTTCTTCATGTGGTGGATAGGCTCTCTGACAGCCTGGAAAAAGTTGACACCCCATCTGGCCGCCAGCCCAACAAGGAAAACGTCAACTGGCTTTCTTCCTTTCTCTTTTCTTCCCCTTCTTTCCTTTTTCTGAGTTCTCTGTCTTCAAAGCTGTTCTGATTATGCTGTGATGTTTCCTTCTCTCTTTTCTCTGTTGGAGATGGAAAGACAAGGAAGCTGCTTACCTTTTGCTGAACAAAGAGTGAACATAGAAGAACTGATAGTAAAAATGAAAGCATAAATTAGGCAGTATACTAACAGCAAGGAGAAGATACTTGGACTCAATTAGAAACTGATGGGAAGGAAAAAAAAAGAGGGAAAAGAGAACCAAAATAATAACATAAATGACTGACTTGTTAGGAAAATAACATCAAAGAACGTTGATATTGCTTACACTCAGGTATATTTCTATAGAGTAAAATTTATGGAGATCGTATCTGATCCTTTTTGAATAAAGAAACCTGCAAGTAGAATTAAGAAGAGATTCAAAAAATGTAAAACCATAGCAGATGCTCTATCTACCCAGAATGGTTATTCATCTCTTCTAAACTATGTAGTATTTAGGACTCAGCTTTAATGTAATTAATATACATAAGCTGTATTTACATGTAAGTTTATATACTATGTAAATTGCAAAATGTAAACTGGTGTAGCCACTGTGGAAAATAGTATGGAGTTTCCTCAAAAAATTAAAAACAGAACTAACCATATGATCTATCAATCTGACTTCTGTGTGTATATCCAAAGGAAATTACATCAGTCTCAAAGAAATACCTACACCTCCATGTTCACTGCAGCATTATTTACAATATGCAAGACATGGAAGCAACCTAAGTGTCCATCAATGGATGAATGGACACAGAAAATGTGGTATATACACAATGAAATATGATTCAGCCATAAAAAGAAGGAAATCCTGTCATTTGCAACAACATGAATGGACTTCAAGAGGATTATGCTAAGTGAAATGAGTCACACAGAAAGACTAATAGTGGCAAAATACTTATCTCACTTATACATGGAACAAGACTGAACTCATAGAAACAGAATGGATTAGTGGTCGCCAGAGGCAGGCGTGGGAGGCAGAAGTGGATAAAGGTAACAAAAGGTATAAAGTTTTAGTTATACGATAAATAAGTTCTGGAGGTGTAATGTGAAGCATCATGGTGACTACAGTTAACAATACTGCATTGTGTATTTGAATGCCACTGAGTAAGTTTTAAAAGTTCTCATTATAAGAAGAAACATCTTGTAACTGTGTGACATGCTAGGTGTTAATTTACTGTTGTAATCATATTGCAAAACATACAAATAACAAATCATTATACTACACATCTTCAATGAATATGATGTTAAATGTCAATTATATCTCAATAAAACTGGGGGAAAAGACTATAAACAGAGAATGAAAGCAAGAGGGAGCCGGCAGTTCCCTGGCAGAACACCCGGGATTTCTTCCTACTCAATTTCTGAAATCACAAATGTCAGGTGAAAAAGAAAAAAGCAGCTAGAGGCATGGTGTTCTAAGAGGTTTACAATGTGCTACTGACCCATCTCCACCACTGAAAGCCTTCCCAGTGTTACACAGCAAAGAATCCTGGTCCCAGGAAGTGTTAAGTTGCATATCTGTAACGTAAAATACAGGATATCAAAATGGACTATGAAGCCACAAGCAACAGTTATTAAATCTGAACTGGTGCAGGGAAAAAAAAAACCCAACAGATCAATGAGGCAGACATCAAGTCCAGGAATAGACTCAAAAAGTAATTTAATATAAAATAGAGCTAATATGGTGAACCAGTGGAAGAAAATTGACCATGGAATAATTGATATTGAGATAATTGCCTTGTCACTAGGAAAGAAATAAGCTTATTCTCTACCTCATCCCTAATACTTAATGAATTGGAGATGGAGAAAAGAAATCTGTAAGAAAGGCATGGCTACCCACTCCAGTATTCTTGCCTGGAGAATCCCATGGATAGAGGAGCCTGGCAGACTACAGTCTATGGGGTTGCAAAGAGTCCAACACAACTGAGCGACTAAGCATGTATGCAAAAGACACCTATGTAGGCTAAATACATTGAAAATATATATATTTTAATATCTTCTGGACCCAACCATGCTACTGATGAACTAAAATTGCAGAACTGTAAAACAGATCCAGTTTATCAAAGCATTTTTATGAAAATTTTTTAGAAGGTCTGGATGTCATTTATTGATAGTTTACACACATTTGTCTTTAAACAATTTTTTTAAGTAAATTTTTTTTTACTTTAAAAATTATTGAGGTATAGTTGATTTATAATATTATATAGGTTTCCGGTGTACAACATAGTAATTCACAGTTTTTAAAGTTTGTACTCCATTTATGAAAGTGAGAAAGTGAAAGTCTTAGTCGCTTGGTTGTGTCTGACTCTTTGCGACCCCGTGGACTGTAGCCCACCAGGCTTCTCTGTCCATGGAATTCTCCAGGTGAGAATACTGAAGTGGTTAGCCATTCCTTTCTCTAGAGGATCTTCCTGGCCCAGGGATTGAAGCCACATCTCCTGCATTTCAGGCAGATTCTTTACCAACCAGGGAAGTCCCATACTCCATTTATAGTTGTAAAATATTTGCTGTATTTTCTGTGTTGTACCATATATCTGTATGGCTTATTTATTTTATACATAGTAGATTGTATCTCTTAATCCTTTGCCCCTATCTTACCTCTCCACCCTCCCTCTTCCTAAAAAGAATTTTATTTTTAATATTCTGCACTGACTCCCTGATTGAGCATTAATATGGAAGTTGGCTTATCATATGATGAGCTCAGTCATCCCATTCAATATAGGAACCTCTTATATTTTAAAAAACAAGTGGTGGACCAGTTTCTTTTTTATTTCAACCCTGTTAAAAATAAACATTATACCTGAAGGACCAGGAGACTGACAGTTCTTTGCATATGGGGGGTCAGAGTTAAAGTTGAGCTAATTCTGACATCTATTAACACCAAGCAAAATTAGTCGAGTATACTGCTTAGACGCTTTTATGATTAAATTTATTTACTGAACCAACAGATGCAGATTATATTGGGAATTTTTAGCATATCAAAATGATCTTGGCCTAGCCTCACAAAATAATACATTTCATTTATGTTAACTATTTTCTTCAACAGACTGATTTTAGTTGCTTAGATAAAATACATACACACAAACACAGACATTTAGAAATTATATTAAAATTCAGTCCTAAATGTCAAACAACCTAAATCCTAACAACTGACGTGCATATAAAATTTGTACTTTTATGTTTCAAAAATTACTCATAATGTGATAATGATTTCCTGGATGTGACACCAAAGGCACAGGCAACAGAAGAAATAAGAAGACAGGTAGGACTTCATTAAAGTTTTTTTAAATTTTGTGCAGCACAACACTTTCAACAAAATAAAAAGTTATCCCACAGAATGGGAAAGAATGTTTGAAAATCATACACTTGATAAGAAATTAATATCCAAAATATACGGAGAATCCCTAAAACTCAATGACAAAGAAATAAATAACCCAATTCAAAAATGGGCAAAGGACTTGAAGAGACATTTCTCCAAAGAAGGCAGTCAAATGACCAATAAGCACATGAAAAGATGTTCAACATCACTAATAGCAAGGGAAATGTAAATCAAAACTACAATGAAATGCCATCTCTTATCCATTAGGATAGGCATAATATATCCTCTTGGATATATAGACATCCTATATCCTTATATCCATAAAGATATCCTTATATCCATAAAGATATCCTTATATTCATAAGGATCCATCTTATATCCATAAGACATCTCATATCCTCTAGGATAGACAAAGGCAAAACCAGAAAATAGCAAGTGTTGGCTAGTGTATGGAGAAACTAGCTCCCTTGTGCACTGTTGGATGGGAATGTAAAACAGTACGGTTGCTGTGGAAGACAGTGTGGAGGTAGCTCAAAAAACTGAAAATAGAGCCCCAATATGATCCAGGAATTCCACATCTAGGTATATACACAAAAGAATTAAAAACAAAATTTTGAAGAGCTATCCATGTACCTGTGTTCATAGCAGCATTATTCACAATACATAGCTAAAATGTGGAGGCAATCCAAGTGTCTGTTGACAGATGAATAGGTAAGGAAGTAAAGTGAAAGTCTTAGTCATGTTCAACTCTTTTTGACCCATGGACTATAGCCACCAGGCTCCTTTGTCCATGGAATTCTCCAGGCAAGAATACTGGAGTGGGTTGCCATTCCCTTCTCCAGGGGATCTTCCCAGCCCAGGGATCAAACCGGTATCTCCCACATTTCAGGTGGATTCTTTATGTCTGAGCCACCGGGGAAGCTTCCCTAATATATGCAACCACATGGATGAAACGTGAAGGATATTATACTAAGTGAAATAAGCTAGTCACAAAACACAAGTGCCATATGATTCCCCTTATTTGAGGGACTTGAAGTAGTCAAAATCATAACAGAGACAGAAAGTGGAATGGTAGTCACCTGAGGTTGTGGGGAGGGGAAAAGCAGAAATTATTGTTTGGTGGGTACAGAGTTTGTTTCACGAGATGAAAAAAGTTCTGAAGATGGATGGTAGTAATGATTGCACAATGTGCTTAAATATCACTGAACTGTATACTTAAAACCCACTAAGATAAATTCTATGTGTATTTTACAATTTTAAAAATTGTAAAAAAAAAAAATGCTAGTAGGAAAAATATCAGTAGTTCCACAATCAACCCTAAGTTACCTAAAGGAAAATTAATGTGGTTAAAGACTCAAAATGACATGATGAAATATACTCAAAAGGATGGAATAAAGTAATAAAGAATAATAAATGAAGGATTTCCCTGGCAGTCCAGTGGTTAAGACACCATGCTCCCAGTGCAGGGGGCACAGGTTTGATCCCTGGTCAATTAAGATCCAGCATGCTGCCCACAGCAGTCAAAAAATAAAAAATAAATGAGGACAATGGGGCGCAGGCACCATGAGGGCTGGGAAGTAAATTTGGTTTTGAATGAAAGAAAAGGACCAGACTAACACACAAAAGTACCACAAATAGGTAGCTAAGGTCTTACAATGTAACCATTCTGATCTCTTGGCATTCATTAACTCACTTCATTGCCCCTCTGGGGAGGCATTATCCTCCCCACTTAATAGATGAAGAACAGACCCAAAGTGTCTGAGCAACTGATCCAGTTTTCATAGCTGATGTGTGGTGGAGGCAGGATTTGAACCTGAGAGTTGACTGGGTACCCTGTTTTCAATCATGGCACTAAAGTGAGTGTCAAGCTTGGCAGAAGCGGCCCAAATCTGCCTCTGCGTTTTCCAGTAGCCGAAACAGAAAGTATGATCAGAGCTCACTTTAACTAAAAAAAAAAAAAGAATCTCAAGGCAGAGAGCTCGTGTCCTGATGAACTCTCCCTGCTAGCGTGTGTTTGTGCATACTAACCTCACTGATGTTTTCCAGCTGGCCCATGCATTTATGCTCTAGTGTCTTACAGATTAAAAACAGCCAGAGTTAAGGTGTGGTTTCCAGGCCCTGAGGTTGAGTGAGTTTTGTTTTGTTTTTTTCCTTTAGACTTTATTTTTTAGAACAGTTTTAGAATACAGGAAAATTGAGACAACAATACAGAGTTCCCACGCATGCCATCAGTGGCCACGATTATTGACATTTTACCTTAGTGTGCTGCATTCATCATGATTAATGAACCGATACTGATACATTAGTATTAGCTCAAGACCATCATTCAGGCTTCCCTGGTGGCTCAGTTGGTAAGGAATCTGCCTGCATTGCAGGAGACATGGTTTCGATCCTGGGTTGGAATGATCCCCTGGAGAAGGAAATGGCAAACTACTTCAGTATTCTTGCCTGGGAAATCCCATGGACAGAGGAGCCTGGCAGGCTGCAGTCCACTGAGTTGCAAAGAATCAGATATGACTGAGTGACTTACGCACACATCCTTCATTCACATTTCCTTATTTTTTACCTAATGTCCGTTTCTCTTCCAAGAACCCACAGGATGCCCTATGACGTTTGATTTTCATGGCTCCCTATATTCCTCTTGGCTTGGGCTGAGTTTTAATCTGCCTTAGGCAAAGTATGAGGACGTCAGCTTAGTTTCTTTGAAGCCTCACAGCTCCATATTTTCATGCAGTGAACAAACAGCTTCATGTTATGATGGCTCATAACAGTGATTAAAGGTGGTAAACACCTCTGTTTTCTGTGCCAACTGAAAACACTGCAGCTTATTCTCTTGCCAGATGACTAATTGGGTATGCTAGAGCATTTTTCCAGGTAAAGTATATTTCCTGGGATTTCTTAAGATGCACCTGTAATATGCAATAAGTATCCAATTACAAGACTTATGTTCACATTTCATCCATTCTCTTCTCACTGACTGTATCTCCAAATTTGAAAAGTATGGTTTTAATCACTCAGAAAATTTAACATGATTGTAATTTTCTTTTTTTCCCAACAGCTTCCCCTCCATCAACTCTTTCCCTTTTGCCAATGTGCTTATAAACACACTCAGGATTCTCCAAGCTTTAAAAAGCAAAGAAAAAATTGTCTTACTATCCAGTTACTGTCTGATTCCCTTGTTCCACTTATTGCTGGAATTCTTGAAAATCTGGCCTATATCTTTGTTTCCATTTTGTTCCATCAATTTTTATTCCTTAATCTAGGATAATCAGGCCTCCTTTCTCACTGCTTGAAACTTCTCTCTGAGGGTGACTAATAAGCTCCACATCTAGTGACCTTTTCTTGGTTCTCTTCCTTCTTACGCTCTTGGAGCATCTGACTGTGTTGTTTATTTTCTCCTTTAAAGTGTCTCTCACTTGGTTTTCAGGATATGAAGTGATGAGGTTTTTTTTAATTCCCTTTCTAGCCCCGCCATTATCTTTTCAGCTTCCCCCCTCCTCCTCTTGTCCTTAATGTAATTTTTTCCCAGGATCAGCCTCACCTCTTTGACTTCCCAAGCCCATCCTGTCCACAGGTGTCTTTATCACATTATTATATCTATGTCAATTACCCTGGTCTTTCTCTAAAGCCCCAGTCTCCCATTATCTCCCATTACAAAAGTCCTTAGGCGTTTCCAATTGAATATCTCTCAAATATATTCAGCGTTTAACCTGTCAAATACTTAACAGATAATCTTTCCCATCAAATCAGTTCTGCTTAAGCTTTCCCTGTCCTATTCATGATACCACACTTCTAGGAACCCATACCTGAAACTGAATGTTTTCACAACTTCCCTCTTGTCTCCCATAATCAGTCTGCAAATGCTGTTGATTTCCTTGAAAAAAAATCTTTATTTTCTTTCCTATTATAATGGACTCATTCACCAAATATTTATTGAGTGCTTACTATATACCAAACATTCTGCCAGCACATTTTTATTTTGTTTTGTTTTTCCTGTCTCTAGTCCATCCCCTGGCAATTAATTCAAAAGTACTACCAGATGTATATTCAGAATATTCTGTTCTGATTATGCCAGCTCCATGCTTAGAACAGATGAACCTATTTGCAAAGCAGAAAGAGAGAAGGAGACATAGAGGACAAACATATGGATACGAAGGAGGGAAAGTGGGGGTGGGATGAATTGGGAGGTTGGGGTTGACATATATACACTGCTATGTATAAAGTAGGTAACTAGTGAGAGGGAACTCTACTCAATGCCCTGTGATGATCTAAATGGGGGGTAGTACAAAAAAGAGGAGATAGTATACATAGAGCTGATTCACTTCACTCTGCAGCAGAAACTAACACTGTAAAGGAACTACACTCCAATAAACATTTTAAAAAGGAAAAACATTTAATGACTGCCCTTTGCCTCCTGCAAAGTAGAAAGGTACTCTGCAGAGTCCTCAGAGTTCCGTGGGGCTCCTTAAAGGCGCCAAAGTATGTGAGTGTAATGAGAAGAAGCACTTCAGCCGTAGCAGCTCCATCTGCCCCAATTAATGATCGTTTATAATAATAATAAATAATGAAATAATAATCCCAATACTACTAGTAATAATAATATTTTATTTTTTTAAAGGAGGGCCAGAGTGTTTTTTGTTTAATAATAATCTTTAAAAGCTCAAAGAAAATGTTCTCAACACTGTTTTAGACTCAGCCTGACAGTTCCTTCTTCAATCAAACTCTAAATGACTTTCCAGCTTAATACAGGACTAGCCGCCCACAGACAACCCACCTTTTAACCAAACTAGACAACTGAGTTGTCACTTGTGGAGTCAAGTCATCCACCAACCCTCCAAACCTTCATTCCACCATTGCCTTTTTTTGGAATGTCCTGTGCTTATCTTCCCATGCTGAATTCCATACCTGACTTTTAAATGCTAGCTCAAATTTCAAGAAGAGTTTTCCTTTTTCTGAAAATCCATAAACTTGGTTTTACAAATCTTTTTGGCACAACACTTGCTTGATTTTGTTCTTTGTAAATTCATGCCTTACTGGCCCTTATGTGATTTTAGACTCCTCAAAGAGTTTTAGACCCCTTGAAGGCAAAAGCGATGTTCTAGCTTCCCTAGTAGCTAACATATTATACTTTATCTATCAAAAGCAAGGGATAGACGTTTATAGAATGAACAAATCTATTTCCCTGTGGTCTTGCCGTGAAGGATCCTGTCAAAAAGAAGAAAATTGTACTCTGTCTTATATGTGTTTTCTTGTAAAGGAGACCAAGAGAAAAGAAAAAGAGGAACCATGAAAACAAGGGTCAAGTAAGAGTAATATGCAGAAAAATCATCCTTTCTTATTCAGTAGTATCCAAGAAGCTTAACTGGGTACATAATAATCTTTCTTTACTTTGTATTTAGTTCACTTTTTTTGCACCTTAGTTTTGGTGAATCCACATAGGAAACATTGGCTCATTAAACTTTCTAGTACCTCTGTAGAAGAGAAAGGTTCCTATGTCCATTATATAGATGGGATGGCTCATCATCACTGACTTAAATAAGGACTTGCAACATAGAAATGAACTATGAACCTCCACATGCTGGTGATAGGACTTAGATTCCCAGCTTGTGACCCGTCACCTTTTGTCTCTCTCCCCAAAGTGATGATCTTCTCTTGTGCAGCAGAAAATCATGTTTGTTTCCCATAATCCTTAGGATTATAATCGCCCCTGTAAAGTCCCCTTTATAGATTCAGTAACATCAGCAGTCATGTTCTTTGAGCACGTCCTAACTGTTTATCATTATGTGCACACACAGTTCCCACTTTAACACAGCACTGTACTCTGGGCAGGTCCCACCAAGACCCCAGTGAAGCAGGTGGCAGGAATAGCTAAGCACTGCCATGCTGATCTTGAGCACTCAGAAGGTGCACATGCTTCCTTTCATCATTTTTTGCCAACTTATTTATTTTGCCCATGGAGGAGGGGCTCTTGCATCCATGTTATATCCATGTAATGTCAGACTGTGAGCATTACTTGGCTTTTTCCAAGCGGAACTCATAGCTGATGACAAGCTGGTGTGGAGAAAATGAAAATTTTTCTGAATTCGGCTCTGCGTGGAAACAGTTGACCAATTTTCATTGCTGTAATGTGGCTCTTTTGCTCTTGGTTGATTGTGAGTAATAGCTTCACTTCTGCAGAAAGGAGATTTTATTTGAAGTCCATTCAGAGATTTGGTTCAACAAACGGGAAACAGTTCTCAGAAAATGTCTTTTGAACCTTCCAATAATAGACTTTCTCATCTATTATTCCTGGAACACTTTATCCTTCACAGCCAAGCATGTGGCTAGCTTTGTTGTTCACTGTGTTCTGCGTTTGCCATTATGACCTATATTTTCAACTTAGGATGCAAAAGAATACAATTTCTTTTTATTTTTCTGAGTAATTACTTGATTTCCCACTTTCGCGCCTCGGTAGGAAGTTCAGTGTCTTCTTGAGGAGGTCCTTTTCTCAATCCAGGAACTTACTTGTTCTATAAAGTGTCAGTCTTATTTCTAAATATCTGGGGGGAAAGAACTATAGCCATTGCCATCCGCAAAGGCTCACTTAGAAAACTGCTCTTGTTCGATCTGTGGACCCACGTCCACTTGCTGATGGCATGCTGACCAGGCAACGTTCCTGTTCAGGCTGAAGCTGTGCTCCTGTTGAACTTAGAAGTTACAGCAGGCGTTGAATAATAAACCCTCAGGCCCTGGTGGGGCAGTGTGTGTGCGTTACTCACTCAGTCGTGTCCATCTCTTTGCAACTCCATGGACTATACCTTGCCAGGCTCCTCTGTCTATGGGATTCTGCAGGCAAGAATACTGGAGTGGGCTGCCATGCCCTCCTCCAAGGGATCTTCTCAACCCAGGGATCGAGCCTAGGTCTCCCACATTGCAGGCAGATTCTTTATTGTCTTAGCCACCAGGGAAGTCCTGTTGAGTTGCTAAGTCGTGTCCAGCTCTTTCATGGCTCCATGAACTATAGCCCACCAAGCTCCTCTGTTCGTGGGATTTTCCAGGCAACACCACTGTAATGGGTTGCCATTTTCTTCTCCAAGAGATCTTCCCAACCCAGAAATTGTACCCATGTCTCTTGTGTTGGCAGGTGGCTTCTCTACCACTGAGCCACTAATGAAGCCCTTGGTAGAGACTACCAGCTTGTTATTAGTCCTGAGTAACAGCCCTTTCCAAATAGGGGAAGGAGCACGTCAAGGCTGTATATTGTCACCCTGCTTATTCAACTTATATGCAGAGTACATCATGAGAAACACTGGGCTGGAAGAAGCAGAACCTTGAATCAAGATTGCCGGGAGAAATATTAATAA